GTAAGTTTTTATCATCTAAAATCTACACTATCTTTTACCTTTATTAAGTGGTTCTAGTGGTAAATTGATGCATTATATTCATCTTAAATGTATAACATTTTGAATGGACTTGTAATGCTTGTAAACAGGTGAAATGTTTTAATGCTCCTCTCCAGCCCTCTGAAATAATGGGTGTTAAGAGAGTTGTTCAAGAGAAGTTGCCAGAAGGGGTAAATAGCCATGGTCTTACCTTGACAGGGTTTCTTTTCCTCCACACACTTTTCATAGAGAAAGGGCGACTTGAGACCACATGGACTGTCCTGAGGAAATTCGGTTACGATAATGATATCAAACTCAGGGATGATCTACTTCCAGTTCCACATAAACGGGCTCCTGATCAGGTATTTCTATTATTCAATTGATGCCATATCTTTATGGCTTCATATTTCTTTGAATTTATTGAATGCTTTGTTATAACTTGGTCTGATTTTCTAGTTCTCTGATTGAAGGGAAAGCTGAACTTGCTCAAGTATTTGGTTCTAGGGTCTTCAGGTCTTATAGATTCATTTATGTAAAGCATTCAATATAAATTTTCCATATTTGTAATAAATGTCTGATTTCTAGAGTAAATTGAACATGTGAAGTATGTGAAAATAGGTGTGAAATAAGAATGATACACATTTTTGGCTGGACATGTCACATGTGGTGGACAAGGAATTGACAGTAAAAAATGAAGTGTCCAATATGGTGTGACTCCTCTGTGGAGGTACTCCAACATCATATATTACCATTTTAGCCCCAGTCATGCCCCTTTTTGTGTATCAGTATGTCTGTCGAGTCTTTAGATCATCAATTCTGTTTATTTTCATACTCCTCTTCATGGTGGAATTGGGGTGGTTGTTTTTTTTTTTAAATTTATTTTCATAGGAAAAATGTGAGTATTATTTTTACAAAAAGTTATGAGGCACATGATAGCTACAGGAAGCAGAAAAATTTAAAAAAGATAAAACCTGTAGAACCTAGTTTGATAAGATACGACCCACTGCAAGTCCTTCACAAGAAAAAAAAAGAAAAAAAACGAATGCTATCTGATCCAGCGAATCAGCCAAATCACTAATAAAAAAATAGCCAAATCATTAGTCCCTTTTAATCCAGCAGAAGTGCAGAACCATATCTTTCTTTGGCCACTAATGATCTAGCCTCCCTATTAAGCTGATAGATTCATGGACCCAAGGAGGAATGGACCATCATTTCCATCCCTCATCTATCCCATACAATCTGCATATCACTCTCAACCTCTACTCTCACACATCCAAGGGAATGTGCAAGGAATAGCTTTTTTAGAAGAGATATAAGTTCATGCTGATAGTCATTCGAACAACTGAACTTGATTATCCATGCAATACCTCACACCATGGCCCAAGTACTCTTCCAAGACCAGGACATTGATTCCCCAAAAACATCCATCAAAATTCAACTTGATGAATTCAGATGAAGGGGTTACCCAGTGCTGGACAGGTATGTCTATTGCTGCTGATAGAGAAGCCACTGCATACCATCCCCTCAGTATGTAGTGGAGAATGCATGGAACTCATCTATATTATGTAACTAGTATGCTATTCCAATAATCATGAGGCTGGTTGATCTTACTCCTTGTTTCTTATTAGAGAAAATCCTAGCAATCCTTACCTCTTACATTGTCCAAAAGACTGCTTCTCTTGAACACATGCATGTAATCTTTCCCCTCAAATGTGGGGTGGATAACCAAGCCAAGTCAAACAATACTGGAATGTCTTGTGGTTGGGAACCTTCCAACTCGAAATAATGCAACAAATGTTCCCAAATTCCTGAAGTATAGGCACAGGAGATTAATAAATGGGGAGTGGCCTTGCTGTAGAAATCACAAAGACAACAAATATGGGTTGAGAGGGATCAATTGGGTTCCTGCATTGAAGCATACTGCAAATGTTAATTTTCTTATGTATCACCTCCCAACCAATGCCCTGATTTTTGGTGGGATGGAAGTCAGAACCTGACTGAATAGCTTTATCCAGAAATACTTGGTCCTAATTTCAGAAAATCAGGTGTATCATAGTTGTTTTTGTCATGATTTAGTTTGTAGTTTAATAGTATATTTTTTGATTAGTAACAAGATTCACATTTTATTAATTTTGTGGAAAGAAAAACTAATACCAACATTTCAAGTTGTTGGAATGGCAGATAATACAAGCTGAATACAGATAAAATAACAGCCGCAAGCTGGCAAATAGAAACCCATAAAATCACCCACTGTTTGAAATCAGGTCCAGGTCCTCTTGAAGCCCAACATTT